GCCTCTTCCCTCCCCGAGCCTCTGCCTGCAAAATAAGACACTCCAAAAATAAGCCCTAACAGGTTTTTTTGGGCCAAAATAAATATAAGGCCTGCACTTATTTTGGGGGAAACACAGTAGCTTCAAACACATAACAAAAAAAAAAGAAGTATATTTTATGCAATGAAGTTTTCCTGATATTTTCTTCTGATGAATCTCCCTCTTTTCGGTTGTCCTAGAAATGAAAGGTATGTTTCATAATGTTATATTGTGCTTGAAACTATTTTTGCTTTGTATTTCAGCAATTAGAACATGCTGTTTATGTAACCATGGTATAAATATTTGTGTTGTAGTTCTTGGAGATAATTTGTCATTTTTGCATCTTGTAAATGAAATCAGGAATGCATTTGAACAGTCTTGCTCAAGGCTTAATTCATATATGTATATAAATATAGAACTACATAATTATTACTGAAACGGGTTTTTGTAAAGATATTTGCAGATTTATAAAGCAGTATTCATCACATACAACACAAAACCACACACACACACACCCCAACAATTCACTCGTGTAAATAGCTGCACAAAGATGAACAGAAGGATTTGCAGTTTTGACTTTCCATTGGTTCCATTGGTAGAAAGTACATAATTTATTCTTAAAATTAAGAGAATTTTTTTTTTTTAAAAAAAAGGCCTCTCTAGTAACTTCAGCATTATTGTTTCTGTCTGAAATATTGTACATCTTAGTAATTTTAAAAGATTTGATATACAGGTCATGTCATTCACTGGTATGACTAAGGCATACTGCCCTGACACATTTAGACAGCACTAGTCAGAAACAAATTGGCTGCCTGAGCAAGGTGGTCAGTTTTATCCTGAGGTGTTGCTTCAGTCTGGAGCCTTGCTAGGAGTCAAACTGAGCTACTATTAAATTGAGAGTTATATTGCTCTTCCTGCTTGCTTTGCTCTACCAGTAATGGGTTTATTGTTGCTGTTAATATTATTATTTTATGTGAATGTAAATTGAAGGCCAGAAGATTTTCTTTGACAGACTCATCATATCTCACATTCATGTAGCAAAGTGATAAGCATTTACCTTCTATCTATATTTTTTTTACAGATATGCATAAAACCTTCCTGCATCTTCAGAGTTTTTTTCTTCTGCTGCTAATATAACATTTATTTAAATCAGGAATAACTAATACCAAGAGTGAACACAAATGATTATAATACAATATTGGGTGACTTGGTGCACCTTGCACAAATGTTTTCTTCAACAAAAGCTACTCACACTGCTATAAGTACTTAAGGACACTGAATATGCTAATAGTTTTTCCTCATATCAGCATTCTGTCAAAATGATGTTAATTGGCCTATATAGTACAGATCCCATCAAACAAAACAAACCAGTTGTATTTGGTAGGGCACTTAGGAAACATCTAAAGAAGTCCATGATGGCTGAATGTAACTATATTTTGTCTTTAAGACAGCTGCATTAAATGTTAAAAGTTCTACCATCAACTTTTCCATAATTGTACTGAAAGTCAATGTTAGGCTAACAGGTTTAAAATTAACAAGGTCGCTCTTGAAATAGAGGGATTGATAATATGGCAAGACTTTATAGTAATACTCTGTCTTATTCTGTCATGGTTGAATATATTGCACACTCTATTACAAACGTGAGTGCTGATGGACTGAGGATCAAGGAATGTATGCATAAACCAGAAGGTCACTTATGCCCGTACCGAATTCCATTGTGTTTATGCTACATATGCTTTGAGAGAAGTGGAAGAAGGATTATTTATATTTTTAAATTTAAATGCATGCTTAAGTGATGGGTTGAACTGGAGCCTAAACGATTCTACTTCCTTATTTATGATTTAGCACCCATATACCTGTCAACTAATCGGGATTATTTCCCTCAATTTCTGTTTCTTTTCCATTAGTAATGTCATACATTTCTGCACAAAGTCATATACTGTACTTGTCCCAGATGGGAACACATGCTCTCTTATCATTATTTTTTTAATGTGAATTTTATACTGAGGATATCCTGTGGTACAATCGCATGTGAGAATGTTTTTTTGAAATAATTACCGGTGTTAATGTGATGGATAAGATTGATATATTATCTATGTGTTAAATCACAGTGACATTAAAAAAAATGAAATTAAATACGCAAGTACAATTACTGTTCACAACTTTTAAAAAGTATAAATAACTAAAATGTTGAGCAAAATTATAGGTAATAGGGAGAAGAACCTTCTCATCATAAAGTCATTAGAGAACTTTTTTTTCTCCTGGCTGAATTTTGTGTATGCATCCAGAAGCATTACTTTTTCCACTTTCCTCTGACTGGAGTTGGACCACTTGAAATTCAAAAAAGTGTTTCTCAGCCTTGGCAACTTAAAGATGTGTGGCCTTCAATGTCCAGAATTCTCCTGCCAGCTTTTTGCCAAGGTTGAGAAACACTGCTCTAAGGTCTTGCTGCTTGCTTTCTCAATGATATAACTGGAAACAAAGTCAATCCCAGATGTGTCTAAGTGCTTCTTTTATTTTCTGACTGTAGTTTGTGCTATTTTGTTTCTTTAGTTGGAAGTTGTTTTTTAAAGACTGATCTATCAGAAATCCAGTTTTCATGCCCCTCTATTTTTAGAATTTGAACCAGATAACTTTTAAAATATTTTCCAATTGCCACGGTTCCAAGCAATTATTTCAATGAAGACATTTTTATAAATACTTAGCAGATTCCAATAGAACTTAGAAGAGAGTATATGTACAATAGCTCAGGGTTGAACTATGGAGTCCTTGATGGTCATTATGAAGATGTTCCATTAGCTGAGTAGATAACATCATCAGTGAGCCCTGGGTAATGAAAAGGCTGCAAGCAAACAGCCAAGCTTAGAGACCACCAAGGATTCCACTTAGCTAATTATCTGGCTCAGAAATTTAAGGAAATCACAATGGCCAGAAGTCTTGGATGTCATGATTCCTTATTAAGATTTCAGGAAGAGGAGTCTGTACTGAATTTCACGTAGAATGTTACAACCATTAATAAGCCAGAGGCTCCAGTGTTTCTCAACCTTGACAGTTTTAAGGCATTGCTGGCTGTGGAATTCTGGGAGTTGAAGTCCACATGCCTTAAAATTGTCAAGGTTGAGAAACACTGAGCTAGACCAATAATCTAAACAGGAGGGTGACTGTCATCTTAGACTTGCAAAATGCTAGCTTTGGGTTTAGTTTTCCATTTAAGAAGACAACTTTTATACCAGAGCAGAATGGCAAGATTTTTAAGAGTTGCTACACGTATAATCCACAATGTGGAGTTTCTTCTGTGTCACTGACACTTTGACAATTCTCTGGTACCTTACTATATAATAAGCCAATGTACAGCTGAAGTGACTTCATTTTAATATTAACATTTAAGACAGGGGGTGGGAGGGGATGATTTTATGTGCCCAACCTAGATCCTAACCATGCGCAAATTACACTTTGCACGCTCACTCGTGGCTTGCATGGCTGGTTCCCAACAGGCCATGGACCAGTACCAGTCCTGAGACTGGGGATTGAGGACCCCTGATTTAAGCTGTATATTTTCCATCTGTCTCTAGACTTGTTGTGAGCTCTATACCTTCAGGGCTGAGAAATATAAATTGGAAATGGTGTTTGAATTATCCAATATACTTGAGAGCTTTGTCTTTACTAAAGTCCTTTCCTTTCCTCAAAAGCATGCTCCAATTGCATCTTTCCACTAAGACTATCTATCTGGCTTCTTCTCTATATTTTATCAAGAGAAAAAAAAATAATCCCAGGGTCAAATCTTGCATGTATGTGTATATCTGCATAACCCACATATTTGACTTTCTTCAGGTATAATCCATAGGCTGGGTACACATCTCATGATAAACTATAACATAATTTGCTTCTTTTTGATTTGATATGCACTGTGATACCAGCCTTTATTGGTCTGTAAATTAGACTATGGTTGAATGTCTTGTGTGATTTACCTCCCTCGAGAGAGAGAGAAAATGATTGGTATAATCACACCAATTTTGGTTCTGCATTACAAAGGGTCAATTGCATTTTGTCATTAGAAAGGGATTTGTCAGAATCTCGAGCAGTTTTTCTCAATCTTGGAAGTTTCCAAACGAATGGATGTCAAATTCCCACAATTCTTCAGGCAGCATGCTGCCTGGGGAATTCTGGGAATTGCAGTCCACACATCTGATCCAGAGAGGGAGGAAGCCCTTGCTCTCTCTGTTAAGATGAACTTGACTGCTGAGCAGGGAGGGGGAAACCAGAGAGCCGCTTAGTTTCTCCACTTGTCTCTTCCCTCCCGAGACCCCCCAGTTCCAATACACAATAGCAGTTTTCCTCAGACAAGCTCCCCCCCCCCTTCCCCAACCCCTTGCAGGCAAAGCTTTGTCGGAGCCGTTCAGTTGCGACGGATTCTGATTGCAGCACTCTGGACAACCGCGATCCTAAGCAGCTTCCTCCGGTCAGGGGGGGATTAATAGGCCCCAACCGCAACCCGGACTAACGGGGCACGGCTGGGAGCCCGTCACCCGGCGTCCCCTCGGGGAGCTGCCGTCGTGCCGCCTAGCCTCGTCTCCGCTCCCCTCCCCGCAGCAGAGACCACCTTCCCCAGCCCGCCGCCTGGCCGGCCCGCCCCGAGCACACGCGAAGCGGCGGCCCTGCCGCAGCCCGACAGGGAGCGCCAGCAAGAGACAGCCCGGCGGCAGCGTAACAAAGCGGAAGAAGCGGCGACGGCGGCGTCCCGGGCTGCGTCCGCTAATGCTGGGAGATCCCATGCCAAGTTTAGAAACTCGGGGGCTGCTTTGGTTGCCGCCGTCGGGCTCCTGGGCTGCTCCGGCGGGTCCCCGGGGAGCGTAGAGGCCCCGCCCTTGCCCGGCGCCTGCAAAATGCCACTCCGCAGACCAGGTAAGGCAGCAATTGCGCCGAGCCTTCCCTCTTCCCTTCCCCGGCCGCCCCTCTTTCCTTGCGCGTTTTGCTCCCCTCACCTGTTTTTTCCTCCTCCTGTTCTGAAGTGGACCCCGCCCTCTGGCGTGTCTCTCTCCCCCCCCCCCCCACGTCTCCTCCCCTTCTCTCCTGGTTTAAGGCAAAGGTAAAGGAACGCTGGGTGGGATGGAGGGGGGGGTGAGCGGCGTCGAGGGTCGCTGTGCTTGTTTGTGTGTGTGTGTGTGTGTGAGAGAGAGAGAAAGCAAGATGGAGCAGCGGCTGACCCCGAGCATGTGTCCACCGGCTGGCCAATCTCGCCGCGGCGGGAGCGCGGGCGTTCAGGGGGAGTCCGTGAAGGGCGGACAAGTGCGCGAGGCCGAGGTGTGCGCTCGCGCATGGGCTCGAGCCCCGGTGCAAACTTGGTGACCCCGTTGCGAAGCGGGTCTCTTTCTCTGTCCTTCTCTCTCTTTCTAGGCGCTGAGCGCGCGGTTCGACCCTGGCAGGTTGATGCTTTCTTAGTTAGGTCTGTTCGTAGATAAGGGAGAGAGGGGGCACTGTGGCGTTGTCATGACGGGTTCTTGGGAGCGTGTAGCCCTGGGTTTTGAATGTTTCGTGAGTCCTGGGCGATCGTTTGTCTGACCCGTTCGTGGCGTGTAGTAGTCGTAACGATACGTGCCCTGGTGGAATGTCAGGGGCATCGGAGGCCCACGCTTCTGAAGCGCAGGCAAGGATGGGCAGCGGCGTCCTTCTCTTTTTAAAGTTTTTGCCCAGCTTATGCGCGGCTTGCTGGAGACTGCTTGTGACGAGCGTGACCCGAGGGAGTGGGAAGGATTCGTTTAGGATGCTTGGGGAATGGGGACGAAGAGGTGGCCTTGGGGGTGGGCAGATCGGGTTAGCCTAAAGACAGGCTGGCTTTTGGCGACAAGCTTCTGTCGCTTCAACTTGCTGGTAGCCTTGCATCGGGGCTTCTGTAAACCCTCCTCCACCCCAAATCCCCCCATTTGATTTCCATTTCCTCCAACTCCTGCTGCTGCCTGGTCCTGAGGTCTGTGCTCCCACTGTTGGGCCTTTCTGTCCCCTCCTGCTTCATCTCTTCCTGCTGCTCTCAGGGCCCTTCTCCTTTGCCTCCACTGGCTCCTGTTCTTGTTCTTTCTGCTGTCCCCTGTCCTGCTGTTTGCAAACTCTTTGGAGGCGGCTGCTGCTGCTGCTTTTGGAAAGGGGAGCTAGCTGTACAATTGTATGCCTGTTGCTACTGGCAACTGCATATACAGAATTGTTATGCATCCATAAGCAGCTTAATTCTGATGGATGGCAGAGAAATATGATCATTTTAGGATGACTGAGCTGGGGTATTTTGTGCTCTCCATCTGTTTCTCTCTCTCTCTCTCTCTCTCTCTCTCTCTCTCTCTCTGTGTGTGTGTGTGTGTGTGTGTGTTTGTATTGTATCTCACGATTCAAGTTTTTAATCTAGAGAGTGAATCCCAGAAGCTGCTTCTTTGTGATCTGACTGGTTTATCTAAGCCTTTGAGGGGGTTTCAGCAAACCTGTATTTGCCTTTTCATCCTCTATGCTTCTGTTGGTTTAAATAACCGAAGCTTTTCAGTATAATTTACTTCTATGCTTGAGTATTGAAACTGACCTGTCTTACTGACCCAGAAGGATTTCTTGAGTTCTGTCCTGAAGCAATGGGTATTGAGACCTATTTAGTACAGATAATAGAAATATTAATTTTCTTTTATTTTCACACTCTCTTTACTTGTTGGTTACATCTGACATTTCTATTACCAGAACTAGAAGGAATGGGGTGTGAAAGAGAAGAACTTGTGTGGGTATTTGGGTTAATACTAACACAGAAAGTCCCACTGGAAGTTTTGTTTATTTATTTAGTAGATGTATATAGCCACCAATTTCATTTGCATGAGTTTTAAACAACTTTTCTTTTCCTTTTCCTTCCTTTCCAGGTTATTGGCTAGCAGTTCCCCCCCTTATGTAAAGTAACCTTGTTAGTTACTTTTATATCAAACCTACATTCCTTAGCTTTATAAGTACAAGCCAAGTTAAGCAAATCATGCAGTATGATTGTAGGATGAAGAGCTAGATTTACAAACATTCATGATTTTGTAGCTGTGACTTGATATGATATTTAAGCTTACATGCTTAAAATTTCCTGACAGGCAGCTTTGTATACTGCTGAATATGTATGTGAATATTTATGTACAATATGATTTGAAGCCACTCTAAATCTAATATTAAGAAAGTACTGTATAAATGAAAGAAAGAAGAATTGTTTAATAATAGTTTCAGCATTTTAAGGATAGTTTCTGGGGGAAACGCATGACTAATGATACCATGTTTGAACTGGGTGGGCTGTTTCTTCCAGCAAGTATGCTTAAGCATAAATCATGGCAATATCTGTAATGAAGCTGTTGATTAATTATATATGATTAAAGTATCCTAAGTGTGTGTCAGTACACTACATATGTCTCCTAGTTGGTGGGATGTGGGCAATAGCATGTTGGCTTTCAAAGTAGTCTTTAGAGTAGAATTTGCATTAAACAGCATGGGCATGCTGGGGATGAAACTGCTTTGGTTACACTTATTCCATCTTGAACAAAATGTGCCAGAAGTGACTGGTACAATCCTTATCTTTAGCAAATAATCAGCAGGTGACTCGGCTATGGATAAAGTTTAAAAAAGTGTTCTGTGAAACATGGCCTTTAATAATCTATGGACACATTAGCAGATATGGAAAAATGGGGCTTGGAATATAAGAAAAATAATAGTAATGGACATGAATGAATAGATTGTTTATCTGTGAAGCTTAGATAAAGGGAAGGATTTAACAGATATGAATAAAAGTAGTTTGATATTGTGGGGTAAAATTAATTCATTCAGGGAAGTGGAGGCATAGGTTTAATTATGAAAGCTAAATATATATTCTTATCTTGCTATCACTTTCTCTGTCATGTTAATACTCATGCTTCTTATTTTCCCTACAGTAACAAGGTGGGTTGGGCTGAGAGACAACCTCCTCACCTTTTCTCTCTCTCACAAAATATCTAAAGTGAGTTGCTTCTTATTCCTCCAGAATGCGCCCCTTCCCTCCTGGGATCCAGACTACTACATTCCATCACAAATAGGAGGCCTGTATAAAATAGAATTAGAAGATAATTAACTTCCCAAGAGAATAAATAGAAAGTGAACTAATGGAAAGAGGTTATGGAAACTGCTTAGAGCAGAGTGAAAAGTACTGTGCTACAGAGCGCCACAGAAAACTGAGCCATTAATAGAATGAATGGAATTAATCATAAAAGTGATTAAATGATTTGATGATGAAGCTGAACTGAAAAAAAATGCTGTAAAAAGCATTGTAGAGCTTTGTAATGGAATGATAGAGATATTTTGATGTGTGATGTGTGAAATTGAAAACAAATGCTGTAAATGTTAGTACAGTACAGTAAAAAGATACTTGAAAAAGAAATAATCTAAGAATTTTGAAAAAATGCTAACACTGCAGGATGGATGGTTTCAGTGGATAAATGTTAAGATGAGGGTATCATTTCAAGTGGCTCTATAGCTTGATTAATTTGTAAGAAAATTGAATATATGCCTGAGTAAATGCAAAAAGTGGGGTTAGTTTGTGTTCTTGAATAGATGCTTGGCAATATACAAGGGTATATTGTATGCAGTAGAGTGAGACATTTCCATCAATGTTTCATCTCTTATGAAATTTGGAATTGTCACCCTATTAGTTAGAATGCTGTGACAACTAGTAGATGGAACTAGGGTATGCTGACTCATGGATGGAAATCTGAGATAATATTCCTAGTGAATATGCCAATTTTAAATCTTATAATGGTTATTGTATTGCACTCCTGCTCTCCAAAAATGTAATAATTTCATGTTTGTTTGGATTTTGAAATGGAGGGGTCACCACTTTCTGTTTTTTTTTTGACAATCTATATTTCTTATTGCTTGAATGTAAAGTCTCATTTGAGTTGAGCTTGACCCAACAGGGACAGATCCATACTATTGTTTTGAAAACAAAATGGAATTGGCCTTTCACTGCCTTCAGCTTACAAGACACTAACAAAGAACTGATTGGTTTGGTTCACTTATAAAAGCAAGGCATTGTTTACAAATCATATTGCCTGTATTTGCTCAACACACTATACTAAATCAAGCACACCACATTATAGTTTAATGCATTGTGGGAACTTAGACATAGGAAGTATTGACATTAGAACAGAAAATCCTTTCCCTCAGTGATGAAAGGAATTTAGCTTATTGAACTTTGTTTGTATTTGAATTTATTGTGGCACTTGGTTTTTGAGGCTGTGAATACATTTGAAAACACAACTTGAGCACCATCATACAGGATGCCAGTTGTTAAAATGATTGAATTAAACATTCATTTCACAGAAGGCTAATAAGGGAAAAATATAGCTTATTCTGAAACTTGAGCACAAGGCAAATATGTCTTTTGAGCCTCAAAGCATAGAAGTTTTATCCTGAACTGACTTTTTTTTCTGCCTGAACAGAACATTCATTTCACAGATGGCAAGTACCTTAATTTAGAAATTGTCTTAATATAAATTATTGTAAAATGCATGCATCATTACTCACACTGTATCTCTCTCTGTATTTTCACTCAGATATGTCCTAGTCCTTATCCCAATTTTTAAATATCTAGAACTCTAAGTTTATTTCTGTTTTTCCCCTCTCCCCCACTCCTGATAGGTATCTTTGCCTATGTTTCCTTTTTCTTTCCAACATAATAAAGTGTTTGAAAGAAAGTATGTAAAAATGCTGTTTGTTTGTCTGTCAGCAGAACAATTCTACAAGAACTGAGCACAGCTAGACTAAATTTGTTGTGAGGGGAAGAAGATGGCAAAAGAAAGATGAAATTCACAAATAGACTGGATCTGGCCAAGTGTTATGGAGCAAAAAAAATACAATAATCCCCTATGTATCTGTATGACATAAGCATTTAGTGGCCTGGCATGTTGATGTCTGTTTCATTTTAAGCCCACCACTTTCTAGTCATATGACCTATGGCAGAATTTGATGCCTACTCTGAACATCAGTGGACATAAATGCAAATGTACATAGATGCAAAGTAATATATTTTAGTGGAAGGTTTCTTGCGTCTAATTGAGTGGCATTACAAATAGTTCAGTCTTGTAAAAAAAT